GGGCCGGCCCGGTGGCGCACTTTCCAGTGCGCCGCTTGGGAGTGCGGTGGCGCTCCCACTGAGGGTTCAGATCCCATGTGGAGACCGGTTCCCGCTCACTGGCTGAGCGTGGTGCGGGCACAACACTGAGGGTTGCGATCCCGTTGCCGGTCCCCGGTATGGGCGCGACACCGAGGGTTGCGATCCCGTTACCGGTCAGTAAAAAAGACAAAAAAAAGGAAAAAAAAAATGTAGTACGTTACTTTTGAAAGGTTGAACATTTTGTTATGGGCTGTTTTAATTTCCATAACAGCCATGTGTATATTAGAATAAAGAAGAAATTAAAACTATTTACCATCTCTGCATGGTCTACTTTCCCAAAAAAGTGATTAAAGGGCTGAGCAGAGAGGTGAAGCAATGTAGTATAGGTGAAATCATACCTCACTTGTGTGGGAGTCACTGGGCACTGGTATCCTGGATCAGCTACTTCCTAGTGTGACCTTGTGTTCAACTTCACTTTTCTAAGGTGTCAAGTGGGGACAATAATACTCTCAAGGACAGATGTGAGAAATAAATGGCATAATTTGTGCAAAATACAAGCTCATAGAAGGAATTCAATACCCAATAACTGAGGTTATAACTCAACATAGCTTGTTCAAGATAAACAATTTCAAACAATATACAGGAAAACTTCTTTTTGTCATTATGTCATAGTAAGCAATCATCAAATATTTATTAATTCCTCTCCAGGTATGAGGACTGGGTCTCTGAGTTAGTTAGGTGTTCTTGGAAATAAGCAGATCTAGAGTTTGAGCAGATCACCTTGGGGTCTTCACATCTTCTCTCTAATGTGTTTTCTAGGTGAATTAGGCTAGCATGAACTTTAAGAGCAGCCTTGAAGAGTAAAAGAAGTCACAAAAATGTACCTGAGAATTGTATGAAAGATCTGTCCTGTACCCATCTTGGTGACTGGCAGGGGTAGAAGAGAAAAAATTGAGGACTAATTCTATGTCTGGAGGCTTGGGTGTGATGTGTGCGTGTGTGTGTGAAGTGGGGGGTGCATAAAGGTAAATTATCACAGCAGAAGCATGGTTCTTCTGAGATATGTGTATGCATTGTTCCTATCCAATACACTCTTACAGAATATGAAGTTATCCAGGGAACTTTACTTGACTCATGGTATGTCCAAATTCATAAAGCAGCAACTCTTGTTATAATTGTCTTCATCTATTGTACATTTGAAAAAACCTAGAGTTACTAACAAGGTGTAACAATCATTAGTTCTGAAGTTCACTCTAAAGGTTTTCCTCATAAATGCTTTATGAACTTTCATTCTGTCACTAACGACGTGCATTGTGGATTTTAAAAAAACAATGTTCTCACCTCAGTTTTCTGCAGGACATATATATGCCTGTGAAGAAACGGGTGGCTGGTTAATATCATTATTTTTATTAAATGCCTGAACTATCACAGAGCAAGTCACTTTCTTTTTTCTTTTTTCTTTTTTTTTAAATGTTTATTTTGTCAATATACAATGTAGTTGATTATTATGGTCCATCACCGAAACCTCCCTCCCTCCTCCCTCTCCCCCCTCCCACGTAAGTCACTTTCTTTAAAGGAAGTATAGCTGCCTCTAAGTATAACTCTGGGCTACAGTTCACCTTTTCTGTTTATTTTATTCTCAACTTGTGAAACTGTATCTTAGGACTTGGGGTATATAACTTGTTACTTGATATCAGCTGAGCAACAGTGAATCAATTGTAATGGTTTTGGCACCAAAAGAAACAGAGGGGACTTAAACATGTTTCCAGGAGACAAAAAGCTTCTTTTTGTGTACAATATATAACATGTCAAAAGTCCAAAAAAAAAAAAAAAAAAAAAAAAAAAAAAAAACCTTTTCTGTTTATTTTATTCTCAACTTGTGAAACTGTATCTTAGGACTTGGGGTATATAACTTGTTACTTGATATCAGCTGAGCAACAGTGAATCAATTGTAATGGTTTTGGCACCAAAAGAAACAGAGGGGACTTAAACATGTTTCCAGGAGACAAAAAGCTTCTTTTTGTGTACAATATATAACATGTCAAAAGTCCAAAAAAAAAAAAAAAGTTTTCTCACTACTTCCCTGATTAGAGATCAAGAGGGCAAAACAGAGAAAACTAACTTCAATCCACATATTATTTATCATGTGTTTTGGATGAAATTCAGATTAAAAATCCCAAAGGACTCCTTCTTCCCGTCCCCCTCTCAGCAAAAGCATTAGGAAGATACTCCCCACGGCAAAATACGCCCACGCTCACACATTCTGCAATGTCGTGTTATCGTTCCATGAGGAAGAGGGTAGTGTTAGTGCAAACAGATTTGTGCTACTCTCCGCATCCTTGCTGCGTGGGTCGCCATAGGTCCGCTGCGGGATACCGCGGGCTGCGAGACCCGGCCGCACAACTTGAGGCTCACAACCTGGGCGCACCTGGATATGCTCCCAGAGGATGTTGGGAAAATCTCGACTCGAGGTCGCCTGCACGGCAGAGCGCTCCCTAAAACCTTATCAATCCTCCTCTTTTGACTCTCGGCGTCCCGGCTAAGTGTCCCAGGAATTTTAACTTTTCAAGTGTTTCGCGCGGACCCCTTGCGGGCGATGGCCTGGCTCGGCCCGGATCATCGGGAGCCACGCGGAGCGGGGTGCTGCTTCCCCTTGCTTCCTCGGGACAGGGAAGAGAAGCGAAAGGAGGTGCTCAGCTCTCCTGCGTGCACTCCAAACATTTGTAATTTGGCGTTTACGAGACAAAATGATGCTAAAATGCAAAGAGACAACGTGAAGGTGCTCAGCCCTCCTGGGTACACTCCCAAATACCTCTCATTTGAAAGTTAAGAAACAAAACAATGCTAAAATGCAAATTGGCAATGTGATACCCAGAATGAGCCTTGTTTGACAGGCCAACTGAGATTTTAATTGAAAGTTTACTCAAACCCCGACACAGAATTCATTCTTTTAAATACTTTTTAAAAATTGTGTAATTTTAAGTTCTACCATTGTCATAATGAACACTCCACAATAACAAGCAATGGAACAATGGACACCCCCATATTGTATTGTGTCAGGTAATTACAAAGTGTCGAGGCGCGCGAAAGCGAAGCCGGGAACCTCAATGTGTTCTCTGCAACGTGTGGGACTGTTCGGGGCCGCATGTCTCAAGGAAGCCTCCTCAAACCGTTCACGCCAATGCCTCAATCCAGAAAGATGGACAGACGCAATCCGACCTTGGCCGCCGACGTGGACAAAGATAGCCAAAGAGGGGACGCTTGGGCGCGGAGGGACTGAGCACTGCTCCCGGGAGGGCGGACGCGATCTGGGAAGTCGTAGGGAGGGAGTGGAACCGGGAGGGCAGGGGTCCCGCCGGGGCGTGGCGAGGCCGAAGGCGCACGGCTTCTGGAGACCCGGAGCCTACGCGGGACTTTGCGCTCTTAGCGGCAGCCACTCAACCCAACCCTGTGGGCCAAACCCAGGGCACCCGGATAACGGTGCGTGCGGGGTGTCACGGAGTAAAGCTGTTACTTTGTACCGGGGGGGAAGACACAGAGAGAACACGAGAGGGAAAAGAGAGAAAAAATAAAGATGAGTGGGCTGAAGGCCGATATGTCCTACTTCTGAGTGGTTCTTCGAGAGGCAAAAGCTGCCCTGTAAGTGCAGTTGGAGGCCCAGCCGCGTTGGGGACCGACGGGGCAGGGCGCGAGGACCTCTGCAAGGGGCCTCCAGCCTCCACGCACTCTGCGGTGGCCCCCTGAGGGGGACACTTTATCTTGGCAGGCAGGGGTGGGGTTCAGCGTTGTGGTTTCCTTTCCCCGGGACCCCGACGCTGCAACCCAGCGGCGGCGAGCTCGGTCTGCCTTCCCGGGTGGAAGCGGCCCTCTCGCGCCGCGACCTCGGGTCCCCGCGCCCTCCCACCGCCCAACCTCTTCTCCTCACCCCATTCATTTTTCCTCAGCAGCGTCTGGGACGGGCTCAGAAATCAACTCCAAACCCACCCGAGCCCACATCACGGAGCTGAGGAGAAGGTCGGGGTCAGAGCGGGCGCCGAAGCCTGGGGGGCACAGAGTAGAGGTGACGGCCGCGAGGGGCGCCGCGTCGTCCCCCTCTCAGCA